GGGAATTGCGCACAAAAGGAGCGATTCAACCCGCAGTTGGACAAGGGGGATTCTTCAGCAACATGTTCCTAGTCTGAAAGAGATAGATTTCAGACCGGTAAACAATTTACGGGATTTGAACGTGCATGTCATATACTGGCACTTCAAAATGGAGGGAATCCACCTCCTCCAGGACCTTCAACTGGAAGGAGGCTGGTTTACACGTTTGGAGCTCAAAGAAGCATATCTGTCAGTCCCAATTCACGAAGACAGTCGCCCCTTCCTTTGCTTCCTATGGCACGGCATCCTGTGGCAATTCACATGCCTCCATTTGGTGCTCAGTTCTGCACCATGGTGCTTCACGAATATAATGAAACCAGTGGTGGCCCACCTTAAAGCTAGAGGGATTCGATGCATCATATATTTGGACAACATTCTGCTGTTCTGCAGGACGAGCAACTAGCTTTCACATCATAATGAGTATGTGGTGGAATTGTTGAAATCTTTGGGATTCATAGTTAACAGAGCCAAGTCTGAACTACTTCCCACTCAATACGTTCCATTACTGAACTTAGAAATAGACTCCCGGTACTGCACTCTTGATCTTCCGTCCATGAAAGTGACGGCCAGAGATTCGCAAGTTACTCAACCAAGATTGCCTTCCACTCAGACACCTCGCTTGGATAATAGGTCTACTGTCCTCCTCCATCCAAGCAATCTTTCCAGGCTCTCTACATTACCAGGCCATGCAACTTGCTGAAGGCCTGCTTCCTCAGACAAAACCCCACTTAAAACAAACATGTTCAGTGAACCGATGAGATTTGCAAGGGACTGGAATAGTGCTCAACTGCATGCAAGCTTGGAACGGTCAGGACTTCATAATGGAGTCGGATGCTAACTGATGGTGCTGGGGCACCACTGATGGGAGCGAATCCACGGGAGGAGCATGGACAACCCAGGAACTCACGGTGCACATCAACTGCCTGGAATTACTAGCTGGATCCTTCGCTATTTACAGTCTCGTGAAGGGAAAATCTGACTGCTGTATTCTCCTTCAGATGGACAACACCTCTGCTATACTTTACAGCAACCATCTGGGAGGCACACGCTCCCAGACACTAACAGAGGAAGGAAATTTTCGACTACTGCCTCTCACACAACATCATGATCACGACAGAACATTACTAGGGGGGTTGAACATTACAGTGCACTGATTCTCCCGTCACTAGGGAGATGCTAGTGACTGGCAACTAAACCCTCAGGTGTTTGCAACCCTGAACTACCGAAGGGGTCCATTCCAACTGGATCAGTTTGCCTCATGCAACAAGCACCAACTACTGTAATTTTACAGATGACTCCCGGATCCGGAATGTGCGGTGGTGGATGCCTTTCTCCAACACTGGTCGAAACAGGGGGCTCATGCCTTCCCCCCAATTTGAAATGATTGCGAGAGTCCTCCACCAAATGAGGGAACAAGAGGTTACGATTCTCCTTCTGCCACCATTATGGCTAAGCCAGCCCTGGTTCCCAGATCTCCTTGACATATCCTGCGAGGATCTATGTCTCCTTCTGAATGATTCCGCACTGCTCAAGGATCCAGTAGGTAACCCACATCCAATGCTCCTGGACAGACATCTATCCTTAGTGGCCTGGACTTTTTCAGGGGTTCATGAAGTGCCAATGAGTTATCATCATCAGCTAAAGAGCTACTCTTGGATTCCTGGGCTCCAGGAACTAGGAAAAGCTAGCTATCAGCATGGCGATCTTGGACCCATTGGTGTGTGGGACGGGACCTTGATCCCTTTACAGCACCTATTTCCGCAATCTTGAATTTCTTTCTTCCCTCTTCGAGTCGAACCGTACAATGGATATGTGTTCCTTTTTAGACACTCTGACTGTTTCTGATTGGTTCTTTATTTCTCCTGTTTTTTTCTTCGATGCTGTGGAGTTAGTAAAGAAAGTTAATGCAAAATATTTGCCTCCTGTCATTATTAAAATTATTATTAGTACACTAAAGCTAGTATAATCTATGATTTTTAGGGCTCTTTCTATATGGCCTATATACTACTTGCCGCACGGACAAATGCAATAAGTACATCACATAGTCCACGGGGAATCAATACATGACTTTACTGGAATATGCTCACCTGTAACTGTCCTTACAAAATGAACCACCCTATCTAAATAGACTGAAGAACAAGCTTTACATTTTCTACACCCTTTAAAACCTTTATCCATATAAACCGGTCCATAATTTATTTTAATGGCATAACTGGATACCAGTTCCGAATTTTAGATTTTTATTTTTCCTTTAAATAATGCTTTGATAATACGTCCCCATGTATTGGATCTTCCAATAATATTGGTTGGTATTTTTGCAAACTTTTTTTAAATTTTGCCAATGGTCTCTATTATAGTAGGTGATAAAAGTGTGTTTATATTGCTTCCCTGAATTTCTCACAATAGGATTATCCATTAACTGATTATTCGTCCCTTTCTTAAAATGTTTTCTGATCTCCCTATTTATATTGTTCTAAATGTAATCCTTTGCTGTAAGCCTATTTTTTTTTTGTTCTGCATGAAGCTGGGATTCCTGGGTATGGTAATAATTACATCTTATCCTTGTGAATTGTCGCCTACCTACTCCCTTCAACCAAGGCTGGTGGTAACAGCTGTTTCAGTGGGTGTAGCTGTTATCATTTATAGGTTTGAAAAAACACCCAGATCTAATTTATCCTTTCTCACAAAAAAGGATGATATCCAAAAAAATTATTGCTTTTTGGCTCCACACTGGTGAAAACCTCAAAGAATGAGATCCCTTCCACATCATAATAATGTCATCTATAAACATCCGCCAGAGCATCAGGTTTCCCCTCCAGACATGCCCCAACCACACAAAGAGGTCCTCCCATTTTCTCATGTAGGTGTTGACATAACTCAGGGCAAACCTTATGCCCTTGGCAGTTCCCGTGGTCTGCAAATAATAATAACCCTAATGCCCTAAAATAAACGTAACCGCTAACAATAAAAACATTCTCAAGGACTGGGAGATTTCTTGATCTTGACTCATAAAAAAATCTATATCCTCAAGTCCCAAGTCATGTTACGTCCAGTGTGGCACAGCTGTATTCATTTTGCCACTCTAAATTTTCCATTTCCCTTGAAACTACTTGGTGTCTTTGATATATGATAAAGCTTTTTCAGCATACTTCTGTAGGTAAAAATCTACAAAGGCAGATAGATTGACAGTTATAGAATCTATAGCGCTGATGATTGGGACTGGAGGGGAATGAAGGCATTTTTGTATTTTGGGTATAAAATAAAAATTAGGAATAATCTAATTTTTACAAAACAAAACTTCTAGATTCTTCTGGGAGATAACTCCTTGTTCTTTTGCCTTTACTAACAAATCCTTGTATTAAAAGCTTCTGTGGGGTCTCTCTCTAATTTTCTATAGGTCTTTTTATCACCCAAAATATTAACGGATTCATGTAGAAAGTATTCTGATGAAATTACCACTATTCCCCCTCCTTTCTCCACCTCTTTCAATCAGGCAGTTGTAGACTACTGTGGCTTCTTTCAAAATTACGGCCTTCAAACAGGAATCAGGCAGCAGGAGACTACCATCACCTCTGTTGCATGATGCAAGAAGATTGAGGTAAAGCTGTTTTTACTGAAGTAGTTCCTAGCATACCTAACATGATATATTAAATTACCTTTTATGGCAACCACTTATCAAGGCATGGTGTCTATTGCTGCTTACCAATCCCCAGAGATATTGCAACAACTGAATGAAGTCATTCCATTATCGTTAAAGTATCATTTTTCATACAAATGTACAGTTTACATTAGACTTGAGCAGGGTAAAAAAAATTGTTTCAGCCGAACAACTTCTTCCGAAAACAAAAACATTTTCGGGACAGCTGAATTGTGGTCATATGGCGGTGTAGCTCATCTGAATTTTGTTTTGAAAAAAAAGATTCGGGAAAACAAAGCAGGTAAACCAAAAGGCGCAAACAATTGGCCACTGTACTGCAATATATATACAAACATTTATTTATTTAGTTATTTACTAAAGTGAAAATTTCAAGAGAATTCAAAGTGAATTCCCATTCAAGGCCATAGTAGCTAAACTGAAAAATTGTTTACTTTGAGTATTTTTCCAGTTCTGCTATTTTAACCTTAAATTTGAATTTGACTTTGAATTCTCATTTTAGTTAATAACACTGAAAATCAATATATATGCAGTGCTCTGATAACCAGCAGAGAAAAAAAGAGGAGGAAAAGTTAAACAAATAATAGACTTTTATACATAATACATTTATTCAATATATAATTAAAAATATAGATTTGTTTTCCTGCTCCTCCATTTTTCTGTCTGTTGGTGACTTCTCACTTGATCTGTTAATAAAATCAACATTTAGTGGTTGTTCCTAGCCATCAAACATCTTTTTCCCATCAAACATCTCTTTTTGTAGCGCCATGGAATTCTGAAACACAAATTAAAATGACATGCTAGTCCATTGAACAATTCTTTTTTGGTTGCATTCTGGCTTGGAGTTCAAGAATCGTAGGATCACAAGATCGCCCCAAATTTGGACTAATTGCAAAATAAATCTCCAAGTCTAGTTTATAGTATATTCCTAAACTGGAACAGAATACTAACATCTGGAAGCACTGCATGTTTAACTTTTAAAAAGTAACAAAATGAAGTCATCAGGCAAACAGTTCATCCATTTGTTTGCAAATTCAGCTTCAGTATATCTGGCCAAAAACACATTCCAAGGCAGCCTCTTCAAGCCATGGCTTCCACCCCTTCTCTTTCTGAAGACAGGACAAGATGTTCTGTTGTATATTTCCTCACCTTTCAGGACCTACCCATGCAGATATGGATTACAGTCATCCTCTAGCTTAATGTTCAGTTGTTAAAAATAAGTCCCGGTTTAAAAATAAAGAATTGAGCCAGTTCAGTTCAGAAAATGTGTGTAGTACAAATGTATGTGACATCTATCTGAGGGAGTTACCTCATGTCCAAGGAGTCATTTGAAAGAATGAGGGATTCCGGACACGTCTTTAAAGTTCCAGCAGGTTGCCACGAAATTTGTAGCTGTGAAAGGTGGGGGGGGGGAGGATTATTTCAGCTATGTTTAAAACTTGTCTGGGTGACTGGAAATTGCACATAAAAAGCACTGCTGAGGGAAAATGTTGAGGAGAGATCCTAGGGGCCACAACTACTCACACTCAAACTGGAAAACTGGGGCAAACATAAGTATATTCCACTGAGCAGTCTTAATAGAGGATTAAGCCAGTGATGTTTTGTTACTGTCGCATAAGGAAAAAAATATTATTCAATAATAACTGTCCAGAATACTTAGCTATTTCCTGCTTGCCATTGTGAGTGATTACTGGTTAGAGAAGACATATTCGCATGTAATGCACAATAGATGTCTGTGATAGCTCCTTTGTCATGTGCCAGAAGATGTATCGAATGGTTTAACCTCTAAGTTGCCTTCAGCGGCAATGTCCATTCCCCCTCTGGTGGCTTACGACTTCTGAATTTTCACTTTCAGGAAGCACGGAGTGCCGTCGGGCTTGTATAAGGATGCACAGGAGCCTACCAAAACTGCTTGGTAGTATGTCATTTGGTCATGCCCAGTTCTGGAGGGACAGTCCTGATATTTGGGTCCTTTCCGGCTATCCTAATTTAGTTCCTTGGTGTTGGATTCATCAGATGCACTTGCGATAGACCAATGAGAGGAGGTGGGAACAGCATCACTTCGACTGAACCGCCAGGTCACTGCAGTCGAAATAGAGATACCACCATCGAGGGGGGAAGTATGCAAATAATCCAGAAGGTGACAGAGCCACTTTAACGTAATAGAAGGAGGGAGGAGCTTCCATTTCCAATCGATATGCAGAGATGTAGAGTGACAGCGCAGAGCCCCTTGCAGAGAAATTCTTTTTTTCTGCTGGGAGAAAATGTATCAACGTGGAGAGCTAGTGTAGATCCGTGAGATACATTTTATTTTGCATTGCAAACCAATGTTTAGTTATGCAACTTGGGAGGGAATAGATTAAATGAAGCATAACATAAAAAAGCCCAATACTTAACTTGAATGATAGTGGAATTAATGTGCCAGTGAGGAATGCATTGATGCTTTAATAAGTCCACCTACTTTAAAATCAAAGGAGTTGCTATACTATTTGCACAAAATATCCAATTTACGTAAATTCATAGATGAAGGATACGACACAAAACAATACAGGATTTAATAAAAAAATATATACTGCAACCACTGTTACAGCATGCATTAATTAATTCAGACTTACTGTAATTACTTATACTAATAAATATTACAGGTGTTCAACTCCCATACCTTTAAAAACAATACTCTACACAATACGGTTTCGCATAAGGGCCCTCTTAGAAATCTGGACAACTTTGCCTTTGTCTGAATAAACAGCTCCATTTAAAGTTACTGAGATTCCTTTTTCAGTTGAGTGTATTACAGCACAATTCCTCATGCAGAGAAAGAGAGAGAGAGAGAGGGGAAAGATTAAAGCATTCACCTCCTCCTGGAAAGTAGTTTTTCATAAGGGTTTTCTAAAGATTTTGTAAAAAGTAATGTTCTTCAAAGAGTTGTTGTAGTGAGCCGTAGCGCTATCAATTACCAGATCGGCTACACTGAGAGGGAAATTTGGGGAGAATAGCTCAGTCATTAACAGAGGGAGAACACATGAGCAGTTACAGCAGTGGATGTAAGGCCCTATTTGAAGGGAAATAGGATTATAGAACGCTCCATAGCTGGAGGGAGATACTGAAGTTAAGGAAAGCCAAATAGCTGTCAGAAGCATGTTGGGAGGGGCGCATAGCTTGCATAGCTCATAGCCTGAAGGTAAAAGAAATACTACTTGCCCAATCCCACTATTTTGTATTACATTCGTATCAGGTAAAATGATTTATCCTTTTCTTATTCTTTAGGTTCACAAAGCAGGTTGGGGTGCTAGAGCAGGTGGAGAGCAGCCTTTTGGCCACCTCTGATTTAGAGCCTCTCTACAAAGCAATGCCACGTTTACTGCAGTATTACACCGAAATTGTGGGTTCTACATATCTCTCTCTGCCTTTGAATTTTATGTCTGTAATATGATAAACATATGAAAAGATTACAGGAAGTAAAATGTATATACATAGATAACACATTGCTAAACACAAATACACACACCAGTCAAGCCACAAGACTTGCTTTTACCACAGAAATCTCACTTTAACAGTGCTCTCACTACTGCAAGGGATTCTGGGTAGGCGTATGCAAATGTTCTCAACAAAGCCAGCAATGTATTAACTATCCACTTACTTCAGGTGGAAGGGGTTTTCATCCACACTTTTTACCCCACCACAACTCTTCCCCACCCCCACCACAACACATATATATGTGTGTGTGTATGTGTATAATCAACTGCAATGAAATATAGATAAAAGCAAAGAGGGGTGTTCTTGAAGTGTGTATATATAACCATAAAAAGGAGAAAAGAAACTAATGGTGAAGTATGTAAAAATTCAGTGGGGTGAACTATATAAACTTACACTTTTAAGGAGCTTAGGTGCAGCTCCATCTTGAAAGCTTGGACGGAATGATCCCCGCCTAAGTATATGGTGGAGTACAGGCTCTTTAGGAAATTCTTGTGATAATAGCTTCTCTTGTGGATATGTAGGAGAAATCAGAGGTATAAAATGCAATATGCCAGACTCAATCATAGAAATAAATAACTATAAAAGATGTGCACTCATGTGTTCTGGAGCCTTGAAGTAGCTCCATAGGTATACCATGATCTCCATTCTAGGATATATGTGTTGATGGTCTCTCTCCGATTATGTAAATAAAATAGAAAATAAAACCACAACAGTGTACACCATAAAAAGTAGAGGATAAAATGAAATTGATAAACACTTCTCACATTCGATAGGGCAAAATAAGATTTGCTCTGTCCAACAGTTGTAAGTTGTATTATCCCCACCAAGGATATGGTGTTCAGGAAAAAAACAAAACAATAAAACATAGTGAATAAGATAAAAAGAACTATATGAAACAATATTAAAATACACTTCAATTGTTTATATATGTTATTATATATTGTTTATATATGCTCATTGTTTTTTTCACAAAAAGGCACAGTATAGTGTTAGGAATACAAATTTGTATTCCTAACTCTAAAGTTCCCCTTCCTTTTTAGATGTATAAACCCTTGCAGGGGTATAAAAGCAGGGCCTGCATTACCCTAAGGTGGTACAGGCAGCCGCGTTAGGGCTCACTGGCCCTGGGGATGCAAGATCCGACTTACCTGACTCAACCGGTCTCTAATCCGGAGGGAAGAGGAAGAATGAGGCATATATAGAGGGAGCTGGGAGAATAAGGCACATATAGGGGGAGCTCACAGAGGGGCTAGGATGGGGATATAGACAGACAAAAGGGGCTGGGGAGAGAAAGCGATACACAGAGGTGCTGGGAGAGTACAGATAGATACAGACAGAGGCTGTGGAAGGGGTAAGACAGACATGGGCTGTGGGGAAGACATCTAGAAGGGCTGGGGGGTGACACCGGGGATAGGGGGACAACAACAAAGAGATACAGAGAGGCTGTGGAGAGAAAGAGACAATGTGCTGGAGGAAGGGACACACAGAGGGGCTGGGGGGATGGAGAGACATAGAGGGGATGGGGAAGGGTAGAACAAGATACACAAAAGGCGATAAGAAATTCAAGAGGGGAATTAAGGGACACACAGGTGAAGATGCATCTTTTGGGGGAAGTGAAGGGGGCAACAAAATATATCTTTGCCTGTGTAGCCAAAAATCCGTGCCCCGGCCATGTTTAAAAGGTACATTTTATGGCTCACTGATCTCCTCGTTGCTGCTCCATCACTTTGGAGATCATCAATGATTTCATAGGGAAACATTGGGAGGCTAGTGAGCATGGGCAGCAAAACATTGCACTGCACCCATCAGATGCTCTCAATGAGAGTTATTTGAGCTATTGTAAGGTTTGTGAAAGGAGCCCAAAAGTGCAGCAGGTATCTGAAGCAAAACACCAAAAGCGAGGTACAGATAGAGATTAAGCAGAGACATGGTCCGGATAACCAAAGGTTAGGTTGGGCAGCACATGTTAATAAACAGTAAAACAAGCACCTGGTAGACAATAATGCAGGTTAGGGATACTCTAGTGAACACCACTAGGAGTACAGTACAACTGAAAAGTGGGCAAGAAGACAGTCTGCGATATAGGGGAGGAGAGACACACCCACCCCACATCATCCCTGGGTTCCTGACTCACCTCCCATCTTGAAGTGCCCCGTCCCCCATTATGGCTGAGCTCATTCACATGCTGGAAGATGCTTAAACATGAAACACACTACAATGCTGTTTGATGCACATGTTTGACTCCCATGTCTAAGGACCTGTAGGCTCGAAACGCGTTAGGTGTTTCGTGTGACCTCTCCCCCTGTTTGTTACTTTTTGTTTGGTGCCAATTAAACCTCCAGTGGATTTTGAGTGCTTACAGTGGTGTTATTCCTATTTTTTTGCTTTTGCACATATTGCTATACAATTAGTGCGTGTTCTGTATTTTTTTTTTCTTCATTCAGACGACTTAAACAACTATTCAGAAATGAAAGACAAACATGTTGACATTTTATTTCAGGGTGAATAAAAGTTGTGTTTGAGGTTTATATAGTGGTGTTATGTATCATACTTTTTTCAGCTTTTTGACTGATATTCAAAAAACATCTAGGAATTAATCACAGTCATTCAAGGAATGAATTTCTTATTTAGTAACCACTTCTACGGCAGAGAACACAACACAGTCATGGCAAGACAGCAAGCAAAACACTGGAGAAACAAACAGAAGGTAGATTAGGAACAAAGCAGGCATGCAGGAACATAACCCCATGAAGAATGGCAGATAATTGAGCCAAACTCCTGGTACTATAATAAAGTGATATTGGTGCCAGACACTTGGCATGATACAAGACTGCATCACAATGCATACAACAAGAATACCATGATGATATGCCATGTTCATATACAAGTAAGCCGGATGTTTTCAGAGGTTGCTTTGGGATGCAGCTAGAGGCAAAACTGTTCCTGGAAGATTGTACTGTGGCTCTGCCAATATCACAGGGGCAGGGCCGGTGCAAGAATTTTTGGCTACACAGGCCCTGCCCGTGTGACAGCCCCTTTACTCCCCCCAAAAATGCATCTTCACCTGTGTGTCCCTTAAACCCCCTCTTTCTCCATTCTCCCATCCCCTCTGTGTCTTTGTATGTCCCCAGTCCCT